CCCACCCCATCAACCCCCCCCCACCCCTGGACACACACAGGTTTACCCCGAGATACGAAAGCCCGCCCACAGCCTGACCCCATCATGCCCCACATACACTGGACACGCACAGAGTTAGCCCGGGATACCTAAGCCCCACCCCCAGTCCTGCTCCATTGCATCATTTCACCCTCCCCCACCCCCCACTGGACACACAGGCCTGGAGCTAACCTGGGATAGTCCAGCCCTGTCCCCACTACCCCCAGTACCACCTGGGGCACTGACTGGTACCACTGGCACAGGGTCTTGAAGGTGGGGGGGATCACTAAAACAGGGCCATGCCACAAGCAACATACATGTGCCAGCGTGGGGCCCAGGAGAGGTCGCTACAACATGGACATGCCACCAACATACATGTGCTAGTGGCAGGGGGTCACTACCAGACAGACATGTCCTGCAACATATGTGTGCAGGGGCCTGGTGGGGGGTTATTACTACACCCATGTGCCATCAAAACATGCATATGCAAGGGCATAGGGATCATTTCAACACAGACACCCTCAACATACATGCGCCAACCTGGGACCCAGGGGGTGGTTGGGTCACTACAACATGAACCTGCCATTGACATACATGTGCCAGTGCAGGAGGTGTCACTACCACATAGACACGCCAAGCAACATATATTTGTTGCATGGGGGGGGTCACTACAACACTGATCTGCCATGCAACGTACATGTGTTGGGGGGGGGGTTCATCGCTACACCAACCTGCCATCAACATGTGTGTGCCAGTGCGGGGGGAGATCACATCAGTATAGACATCATACTATCAACACACATGTGCCACAGCAAGGGGGTCACAGCAATGTGGACAGGTTGAAGTAACCCCTGGCAGTGGCACACAGATGTTCATAGCACACGTGTGCTGGGGGTAAGACCCAGGGGATCACTACAACATGGACACACCATGCATCATACATGTGCTGGCATGGGGCCCCAAGGGCAACTGTAACATGGACATCCCACACAACACGCGTGCCAGAGCAGGGATGTTGCTATAGCCTGGACACTCTGTGTAACGTGTGTACCGGGGGCAGGGGCGGGGGGAACTCACTACATAGGAGTGTCACATGTGGGGTTCAGCACAACACGCCATGCCACATACGTGTGCCAGGCTGGGATTGTGGGCAGCTTCACCACATGCACAGACGTGCCCCATCCGTGTGCTGCACCAGGGGGCTCCAATTTCCCAACCGCGTACCAGCAGCATCAAACCCGCCCGGCAGCCACTGATGACTAAGAGAGGAATTATGGGATGGATCCCTTCTCCCCTCCTCCCCTGTCTTCCGTGCGAGCTTCATGCCCGCCCTTTTTCCGTTCTGAACACACCAAGAATACATTCTGCATGCCAGCCTGCCCTGCCCCACCCGGCCTGCGGCACCAACCTTCGGGGGGGGCATAAGGAGCAAGACAGAGGCACTGGGGGCAAGGGGAAGGGTCTTAGGCCCCCCACAAAATGTTTCTGCCCCTTTCGCAGGAAAAATACAGCCCCTATTGACTGGAGTACTGGGGCCCCCTCAATTTCATGCAGGGTAGGATGGGGTTCTCCCTCCCCAGGTGGGGAAACTGAGGCATGGGGAGGTGGTCAAGAGGGATCTGGGGCTGCCCCTACACACCTTCCCCCCACCCCAGCCCAGGCCTCCAGGGGAAACTGAGGCAGACAGCCCCGCCCCGCCCTGCCCCTCTCCATTGGGTGGAAGCTGAGCTGGGGAAAAAAGTCTCAGGTGTGAGCCCTGCCCTCCCCTGGCCCCAGACCTGAGGGTATATAGAGACCAGCCCTGCCCTACGTGTGCTATAGGGGCTGAGAAGACACCTATAGAAGCCTATATAGCTCCCACAATCAGGGGACTAGGCAAATACGGTCCTTGTGTCCTATATAGGAGCTCCTTATAGGGGACCATGCAGGCCCCACTCCCTAAGGAATACTATAGGAGACTCACCCACTTCAGGTCCCCTACAGAAACCCCTTGTCCACAGATGCCCCTAGACCCTTCCTGGCTCTCAGGTGAACCCCATAGCCTCCCCTCCTCCAAAGGGCAAGGGGCCCTACAGCCTTGCTATAGGGGTCCCTTTTCCTCTAGGCACCCTCCACTCCAAAAAGAGACCCTATAGCCCTCCCTCCTGCCTTGCTCTCTATGGGGAACCCTCTGGGGCCTCCCTTCCCTTCCTACAAGGAAAACCCCTATAGGGGACCTTTTGGCCACTTCTACAGGAGACACCACAAGTGTCTACGCCGCTCCATAGGCCACCCCTATAGGGCACTCCATCTCCAGCTTCTCTAAGGGGGCCCCAGAGCTCCCCCCTTTCCTTGTTATAGGGGACCCCATGCCCCTCCGTCTATATAGGACCACAGATCCAATTCTATAAAGCCACTTCCTTCCTTGCAGGTCGTGGGGGGGGGTAGGACTCCCCCCTCTATAGGGGGAAGCCCTCATCCCACCCATCTGCTCTATAGGGAACCACCAAGTCCTGCCCACCTGCTCCATGGACCCCCCACAACCGGCCCTATAGGAGGACCCCCACGGTCCCCCTCCCGTTCCATAGGGGCTCTATAGGAAGCTCCTCTCTCTGGGGGCTCCACTTCCTGCCCTATAAAGGACCCCCCGGGCCGGCTCTATAGGGGACCCGGCGCCCCACAGCAGAGCCGAGGCGTTATAGCTCTATAGGGGCCTTACAGGGGAGTCCCGCTCACCGGCCGCTTCCAGCACGACGCCGACGCCGGATCAACAGCCGCCCCCCCCCCAGGTGGGCGGGGCGAGGACGGGGCCAACCCTCTCGCTTGGAGCTCGCCGGGGTGTGGCTCTGCCCCTCCCAGTGGACTACAACTCTCGGCGTGCCCCGCGCGCAGCCAAAGCGAGGGGGGCGCGCGCAGCACGCAGAGCTCGCTGGGCAATGGAGTCCCCAGGAGGGGGGGGCTCCCGGGGTGCACCGCGGCGCTGGGAAGGGGAGGGGTGCCCTGGGGCCGTGTGCTGGGGCGGTCCTGCCCTCCGCCAACCCTATTGCAACGTTGCATTGCCCGTGTCCGGGCTCCCAGAGCCCCTGTGAGCCGTCAGACCCACCCCACGAGGCAGGAGAGGACATAGGCGTGCGGGGCCCCTCCTCCCCCAGCTTTGGTGCAGCCCTGGAAAGGGATCTGCTGCAGGCTGGGAAAAGCTGGACTGGTTGCAGTGGGGAGTTGTATTGAGAGCAGGCGGCGACTGCAGAAAGATGTTGCCCTTCCCAGTTGCGCTGCTATTGCTTTATTAAACAGGAACCTAAAATCAACGCGGATCCACCCACCCGCACCTATTCTGCTCCCTCGGGACGCAACTGCGCGTGCGCCTGTGCTGCAAGCGCAGCGACACTGCCCAGAAATCTTGCGCATGCGTAAACCGCCCTACGCTCCACTGAGCAAGCGCACCCAGGCGAAGGTCTATTCACTAGGGCGAACGCGCGGGATCGGCCGTTGGCGCCTGCGCGTTGGAGGCCCGCGCCGCGGTTTCCGATACGCATGCGCAGAGGCACCGCCCCTCCACCCGCGCTTGCGCAGTGTGCCGCCACCGCCCCCCTCCGCGTCGCGCACGCGTCCTGCGCCGCTGTCCCGGCTGCCTGTCAGTCGCTGTCTGCCCGTCGAGTGGGTCGGACGCGCCTTGCCTGGGTTCCTGCTGCCGCTGCCATGGCCGACTCCGCAACCCAGTCCCCCTACATCTCCTCCTCCCTCGGGGGGGGTCTCTCCGAGCCGGGCAGCGGCCCCAGCCCCGCTGGCGGTCGCGACTGCAAGGGGGGCGGCTCCCCGCCCTGCGCCGGTAAGGGCCGGGACAGCCCCGGGGAGGAGCGGCTCCGGGGGGAAGGGGCTTGCAGCAGCCCGGAGCTCCGGGGGGAGGGGCCTGGAACAGCCTTGTGAGGGGAACAGCTTGGGGGGAGGGGCTTGGAACAGCCTGGACCTCTCCAGGGAGGGGCTGGGAACAGCGGGGGGGAGGGGAGCAGCTGGGGGCGTGTCTTGGAACAGCCTGCAGTTCTTGTGGGGGGGCTTGGAGCAGCCTGAGGGGAAGGAATAGCTGGGGGAGGGATGCTGGAAGAGCCAGGGGAAGAGGAGCAGGCGGAGGGGGGGTCCTGGAACAGCCCTGTGGGAGCGTCACCCAGGGAAGGGGCTGGGGTGAGCGCAGGGCCCAGGACCAGGGCAGCTTGCATTGCGCACTGGTGCCCCGCATGCGCTGGGGGGCTGTGGCTGGGCGGGCCCTGGATCAGGGCTGGGCAGATGGCGGTGCAAGGGGGCAGGGATCTGGGTGTGTGGATGGACGGGTGGGGGTGCATCATGGCAGGGCGGGGATCAAGGTACCCCTGTCCGAGCCCAAGGGAGGCGGCGGGGAGGCGTCCTCTGGTCCCCAAGACATCAGGGTATCACCCGCCCCCACACACACCTCCGCTAGAGCTGGTGCGAGATGAATGCTTCACCGTCCCCCTCTTCCCCCCTCCTCCTAGCCACTGGGGGCAAGTATATTTATCTCCTTGCGGAGGGTGGGGTGGGAATAATCCACTGGCTGAAGGTCTTCCAGGGCAGGTGGCTGTGGGGGAGGGGGGTGGCAGGGCTCCGTTCCATTTCTGCTGCAGCCTTTTCCCTTTTGTTGAGTGACAGCTCGATAAATGGAGCGTGTGGCGGGGAGAGGGAGAAGTGGGGGGAAGCTGATCAGACAAAGCAGGGGCTGGTTCCTTCGCTCCCTGTCCAGCGGGGCTGTTCTTTCCTCCCCATTGTGCGTCTGCCAGGCTGCCTTTCCTGCAAAGATCTGCAGTGCAGATGCCTCCATGGGGGGGGTGTGGGGGGGAGGGAAAAAAAAGC